TTTATAATCATCAAACGGATATAAAATTTCTGTTCGGTTTTTACATATTTCACAAAAATGTCCTTTTTGAGAGCATAGGACACAATTTAAAACGTGTGCTTTAGTATTTGCAATAACATCACGTAGTAATGCATGTATTTTTTTCAGTGATACAATATCCTGCAATGAATACGTGTGTACCGATTGATATAAATGATCTCTTGGCCATAAATCTCGAAAAAAAGTATCTTCAATCAGGACATTATCCTTTTCAAGAACACTACATGTTGCCAAATAATTATAAAGTGCCTTCAATTGAATACGTTGTAACTTAACCATGTGTAACAGTTTTGATATTTTGTATAGTTTCGGATTGTCATTTTGTACATCCAATAGAGGATAATAAGAGTTGGAGTCAATGATATATTTTGCTCTTCGACACACAGGATATTTTTTTGTATTATAATGATGTATAATCTTAGCTGGAATCAAAGCAGTATCCATCTTGTGACAGACATTACAATAAAGATTACCGTAATAATAACAACGTCGTTCATTTGATGATGGCGGTAAAGCTCTTTTGCAACAAATACATTTGAAATTTTGCTCAGCTGCTGTTGTATGAACAAATTCTAGATGATGAGAGCAACTTCTATGAACTTTTTTATAAAAAAAAGCTCTATAAAATTACCTTGAATATACAATGAGTGCTCAATTGGCTGATCGAATGACAATACTTCATAATCTTCAAAATCTTCGCTAGATGAGTTTTCACACAAAAGAGAAGTATCATCGTTAGTATTTGATGATATAGTATCGTAATGATCTTCCATATCGTCACTCGATTGAGATGGTACAGACTGATTGCCATAACCTAAATAGATTCAGATACATTTTAAATATTACTTATTCTCTTTTCTTTAAACACTTGCACTAACCTTCAGTCCAACCGCATATCAACGGTGATAGCGAATTTCCGTATAAATCAGAGACCGAACCATTTCTTAACGTACAGTCTTCTGGAACGTCAACAGAATCTGTTGGGGTTGGTAGTGGCGATGATATTAATGAATAATTTGAATGATGCAAAAGAACAGATGGCATTAGGCAATTTGGACATGCATCTTTAGAATCATTATCGTCTGTTGTCAAAGAATCACTATTATTACCTGTAATGCAACAAGGATTCGTTGGAGTTGGCGGTGACTCAGATTTCCGGCGAAAATGATCGATCTGTAAGAGAAAAACGCACAAAAGATAATTTTATCTTTTTCTTCGAAACTAGGGCTGGTTAGCACGAGTTCTATATATTAGAATGTGCTTGTACAACCGAATTAACAAAAATCTATCCTTTAATTCAATGTCTCTATGAGTTTCCAAGGGCTAACAAATGAATTAACGGTTATTTCAACCAAAAAATATAATTTATCCGTTCCTTTTCCAGAAGTAACACAAGTAACGGATTTCCGTTATCGTTACTGGTAACAGGTAACAGATTTTTGTTGCCCGTTACAGTAACAATAAAGGGAAAGTGCCACCCTTACACAAAACAAAAACTTTAAGCAGCCAGTTAGTTACTATTTGTGAAGACAAACGACTTCATTTATTAGAAAGTTAAAGAATTTTCAGCAAACTTATCGCTTAGAACTGTGGCAAGTGGCCAGTGGAAAAAAACAAGCTAATATAAATAATATATTCAAAATAGAAATAAGCAGAGTTAATTTAGCGTTAAACAGACCACAAAATAATATTCATAAATAAAAGATAAGCTTGTACACGCTCTCCATCGTTGAATGGAACTATAACAATAACAAGACCTAAAGTGTTAATAAAGAATCGAATGACTAACTCATTCAACTTCTGAATGCCCTCAATTTAACCTCTTGTTAGTAGAGCAAGTAAGAAACTAGTAAAGACAAGTTAATAACTTACAGTGGTAGCAAATTTGCTTTCGACTGCTGGCCAAAACAGCTTTAATTCACGTAATATTTGTTCTGTCATAATAAGACTAATTAATAATAATATGAATATTATTCAATCTTTGCAAATAAGATAAATGAAGATACATTTGGTCTTTCTATTAATAGATACGAATCACAAAATACAACAGCGAAAAATATCTGATTCTTCCCGCGTTCGACGCATGGTACTCGACAGAACGAAAAAAAATCATGCAGTGCGATACTATGATTGCAATTGTATAATTGGAAAGGACAAAATGCAATCGGTGTTCGGATAAATATTGAAAAAAAGGTAGCGGTTAGTCGAAGGGTGAGGCTTTTCGGTGGGGTGACTGAAACATAAAAACCATCTACACATGTCTGGATAAGATTATCCGTTGTGATGTTCAAGTTCAGAAACTCAACTGAAATTCGGATTAATAAAATCTTGTCTTCCCGGTCATGACAAGAATACAATGACACTTTCTCTTATGATAGATAAAAACCAGATTCATGCTTCACTGAATAACATAAACGACCAGTCACCCATATCATATTTCGGAATAACAGCGGTTTTAATAGAACTGGTTTTTCAAATCAATCAAATTTTCGTCGGTCTAAAAATAGATTTGTGATTTTTGCCACATGATCGGATGCAACGTTATCGATTAGATTAGGGGATAGCAACCATTTGGATACAGTTACTCAAAAAATTTGACTTACTCAAATTTTTTAAGAAATTTAAGTTGAGAAACTGCCTTTTATGCACCTAAGTGATTTTCTCTAGCTTCTGAGTAACTGAGTTATTCAGAAAAAAATTTTAGTAAAAAAATGCGTTACTCAATAAAAAACTTTAATTACTCAGCAGCCTCGTTTTGAAAAGAAGTTATTTTTTTCATTTGGGTTTTTCTCCTATTTCTTGCAATAGTTTTAGATTTTAAGCACATGATTGAATAGAGAAATGTTTTGAGACCGCAATAATGTCATTTTAATTTAACTCTCGTTCATTCTTGACGGGAGAAAATCGAACTGCGAAAATATAGTTATTTGTAAAATGCGTGATTCCGTGATCTTGACCAAACCTTTTTCTATTTGGGGAAGCTCAAAATCATATAAATAACCTAATTTATACGGAATCATGTAAAAAGTTTATTTCTCTTGTTGCTACATGCTCTTTCATCTGGCCATACATCCAGTCGAGCTCTGCAGTATTCTCTCAGAATAATCTTTGGCTTGCTTTTCTTCTATTTCTCCTAAACACAAATCTATCTATATGAATTTTCTTATTTAATATAATTCTTATCATAATTAATTCGAACACTAGAACAGATTTGAACAGATCTATTTTTTTCAGTTAGATATTTTGGAATACTAAACGTTATTAAGATGACCATTATTCAAAAAAAAAAAGACATGGATTCTGGTTTTTGCGTCATTCATACAAGTATGAATGCTACTTTAATTTGAGATATGGCAAGACCACATTTGACTCGGCTGACAATTTTCAGATCTTTGATCTCTGAAAAAATAGATTTTACATGATTTTTTCAACAAGTATTTAGGTAGAATCACTATCCTAGATCATCGTTCCATCCATAGAAATCCAACAAATTCCATACATAGCATCAGATCGTGGCGTCTTATACTTTTATATAAATTGGGCAAAACTGTTAGGCAAGTAGAATACATAGGTTTTTGGTTTGAGTTTACCCAGAACTCGGTCCAAAAATATCATTTTGACCTGAAATTTTCTGGAAGCATAGCTTGACTCTACCTGACAAGAATAATCACATAGACTTCAAAGTTAAGTACAAGATAAACAAGGATTTTGGACCCTCAATAATAAACCATCTTTCAAAAGGCATGCTTGAGAAGTTAACGGGCCTTTCTTTCTTCACCAGAGCATATGCATTAATTGCGCATTATACTCATACAGAAGTAGAATTATGAAACCTTATATTCCTGGATACTGGCTATAACGGTGTTTGATTTTTAAAGATGTCACTGCTGTTGTAGAGTACCGTACCAAGATTAATGTTTTCAGCTTCGGAATATAAATTTTCAGGTGTATTTTTGCTTCTGTTTTGTTAATAAAGTAAAACAATATCGTGTTGTTTTGCTACACTTTTAGAGAAAACAAAAGATAGCAAAAATAATACATCGCATTTTATTCAGATGAGAAAACAAAAAAAAAATGCAACGAAAAACAACGTTACACACATGTTTTAAAAAATATCCACAGGTATATTCTCTGTTTTATAAAAAAAAAAAATATAACTACACCGGATGTGAACAAAAACAAAGAAAAATTTTAACAAACACAAAGTGCGTACTTCGAAAATAAGTTTTTCTTCAAAAATAATTTAAAAAAATAGTTTTCAAATGACAATCACATTAGAACAAGGAATTATTCTGTATAGTACTGTTCAAATGTCAAATAGAAACAAAAAGTAAAAACATTGAAAAACTAATAGACATAAAAATAAACTTCATTCACAAAAAATAAACATTCTTATGTTTCATTCTCTGTTATATTTTTGTTTTTAATTAGATGCACCGTAAATCCTCGCTAGTTGTAAAGAAATATCGAAAGACTATAATGAAAGAATAAAAGAAACAAAAGACATTCGAATGTCCAGGCAGATACAGATCTTTTCGTACATACATCTAATAATTCGGAAAAACAAAAAATATAAAAACATATCTGGCAAAGTACAACATTTCGACTACGATATCGATTTTTGTAGTAAAAATAGACAGACACCGATCTTCTGCACAATAGAATAACTTAAATTAGAAAAAGAAAAGGAATGACAAACAGTTTAAAAAACACAGCCAGATAGTCATGAATTAATGTATGTAGTCTAATCATACAGTATGTGAACAATTCATCTAGTATGGATAGGATGGATGGTTACGCTAATACGCATTTTTAGAAATATTAGGAGAAAATTTAAATGAACTTCCGATAGGTCAAGCGTATACAGAAAAGAAGTTATAAGATGTTATAATATATTCAAAGGTCTGTTATGATTGATAAATAAAATAAAACGAAGATAAGAATTTTTACAGGAGAAAATATTATGGTAGACGATACTTGTTATAAGCAGATGGTACATATCTGACTGTTCGATAATTGAGTTTTGTTGGAATAAGGATATTTGATCCACTGCTTATCGCAGATGATACTCTTGGTGCTGGTAATGTTGACGTGGCTCCCGGTGCATAGGCTGAGGAGGATTGTTTGATAAAACTAGATGCATAGGATGGATTAGACGTATTCATAGTAACAGCTGTCGAAAGAGGTCGATGTTGGTGGTGCTGATGATGACGATCTTCGTTTTGGGTAAGAGAACCATATTTCAAAGATTCATTCGCTGAATAAAAATCATTTGCATTTGTACCATAAGCACTTGAATATGTCGAACGTACAGGTAATGTATTTGTTGATCGAGCAACGACAGATGACGGACGTGGAATAGAAAATGTTTTTGTTGCTAAAACATTTTGTTTTACTGTTAAGGATGGAGAAGATGCCAAGGCGTTTGTTGACAAAGATGATTTTGTGTGAATTGGAATTGTTGTTCCTTGTCGCATTAAACGTGACGATGATGCTGAACTTGATAAATAAAGATCCGGAATTCGACCCATTGAAGTTTCAACAAATTGTACAGTTGTATAACCATACAACTGTTTTTCGTATACAATTAATTGTTTAATAAAACCAAACTACAAACATAGAAGAAATAAATTAAATTTTGATGTAAAATCTTTGTCTACTCTTACATTTGGTCCAATAATGGGTCGTCGTGCACGTAAAAAATGAAATGCTTCTTTCAACGACATTTGTTTGTATCTCATCAGATATGCTGAAAGAGTAAAAATAGAAAATTTAGAATACATACACGAAAAACTCTAAAATATTTATCAACCTAAGACAATTGTTGCTGATCGAGACCTTCCAACATAACAATGAATCAGAGTTTTCTTTCCTTGTGAAATATTTTTATGTATACGTTCTGTTAATCGATCAAAATAATGATGTATTGAAACAGCTGGTAAATCCAAGATAGGTACTTTTTCATATTCCACCGCTGGACCCAAATCTTGAGCAGGACATTCTTGAGATATGTTTATCTAAACATTTAATTTGAAGAAAGTAAGTTTCATTGCTGTAAAGAAGTTGATTACTTGTTTACAAAAACGTTTTCAAAGAATTTACTTTTCAAAAAGATTTTACTTACAACATATTTAATCCCTTTGGATATGATAGCTTGACGTGATTCAAGGCCTGAGATACATAAATTATCTATTACGTCTGTTATTCCCATCATGTTTGGTAATGTTCACACTTTATCTGAGTTAAATTGTATTTGTATGTAGGACGTGGAATGTGTAGAGAAATGGAAGGTAGATAAAGAGAAAGAGAAGAATATTTTTTTGTAATAAAAAATATATTCTGAAACAGAAAAAAAAAGAACTGAGTAGAATAAATCATATCAGAGAAATAGATGATTCATCTAAATGAATGTGATCTCGTTTTCTCGGAACAAAAGCGTACTTTTATGCCATCATTTCAGCAGGATAAAAATATTACAGTAAAACCATTACACATTTGGTAAATAATATAAAAATTTAAATGGAAATGATCGAGTACTTTTGCCATTGTTAAAGAAATACATTTGAAACGATGGATTGTACATTATAGAGAAAATTCACAATAAAGTGAAGTATTAAAAAATTGTGTTTTTATTTCTATGGCACAAATGGCCTATCAAATGAATAATGTTCTGTCAAAAATAAAATGTGACGAAGAACTACATCGATCAGTCTCACACACACGATACAATATTGAACAAATACAAATAATAAATATCATCTAATGTATTTCTTCAAAACAAACTGACACGATTACCATCATCACAGTCGCTTGTCATAAAGTGTCTGTGAGTTTCTAAACAAAGAAACAGAAAGAGAAAAACAGCTGGAAGTTTTGTTTTGCTTAAGTATTTCTTTGAACACGGAAGACACATTGCATAGTAGTGAAAAGAAAACAAAATCGAGAAAAAGTTCTGTTCATCTGACAAAATCATTCTAAAAACTCATTCGTGCGATTTCATTATCAACATAAAAGCAAACCAAAAAATGCAAAACAATATCACATCATTCTTCGCAGAGAAGTAATAAAAATACTGATTCGTATTTCGAAAAAAAATATTAGACAATAAAATGGAAAAAGAAAATACCCAACTCGAGAGTTTATCTTTACATGTTAAAAAGCATAAACATATTATCATACTGTTATTACTAGAATTAAATGGAGACATATAAAAAAGAGATTCTATGAAACACATTTAACATTTGAATCTGTGTTTGTAAAAAAAAGTAGAACGAAAAAGAAAAGCAAGACACCGAGAGTCTGCATGTGGTGGATTATACTGTAAAAATACTTATACACGTTAAAAAACATATTAGGAAACTTTTTTCAACGAAAATGAGTATGTTACATGTCATCATACATCTCTTTGATCACAAGAAAAATTTTAATACTAAAAAATTATGGAATTAACGGCTTGATAAAACTAGCACGATAGGTTGTTTCATAATGAGGTTTGCTATGGCCGTTTGTTGTAGTTGATGGCGAGAAATTATTATTTAATTGACGATTTGCTCCAATTGTTCTCAGATTCGGCGAAGTTGTAATTGGAAAAGGACGATTATTAACATAATATTGTGATGATGATGATATTTGAGGTGTAGGAGATGGAGGCGCTGGCGGCAATGAAGACGATGGATTTAAGCGTGTACCAATACTGTATCGTGTTGCTGTTGGTGCCAGAAAAGAAGACTGTTTTGATGCAAACGTCGAGTGTCCGTTCTCGTTTGTACGTCCATTGATGAGTGTAGATGATACTGTCGATGAAGTTTGTGGCAGTTGACGGTTAGGTGCTAAAGACCGTGATCTCAATGTGCCAGTACTTATTGTCATTTCTCGTCCACTTGCTCGTGGTAATGTTTGTGAAAATAATGTGCCTCCACCAGCACTAATACTAGTTGTCGGAGACAAAAATGGTACCGTCGTTGTTGGCTGTTGACTTTTCGTTTCTTTCATTTCATTTAACATTACATCAGGTATATGACCGAAATTTGTTTGAATGACTAAAACGAACGATCAGACAAATAAAACTTAAATTGTTAAGAAGCGTGAGCGGAAGATAAAAATAGCTATACTAACGTTTGACACTGTTTTCATGTTTCAATTGATATTCATATTGAATTAATTGAGACCAAAATCCAAGATTCGGAAAACAAATAGGCCGTCGATCTTTAATTAATAAATAGGCTTCTCGCAATGTCATGTGCTGATATTTCATCAAATATGCACATACAATTGTTGTACTTCTAGAAATACCAGCCATACAATGAATTAATACTTTATTTTGTTTATTGGTAGATAAATGTTGATGAATTTTATCAGTTAAAGCATTGAAATAATTGCCTAAAATTGACAATAACAAATTTTCCGTGTAAAAAGTAAGTTGTACTATCAAACATACTTATTGGTGCTGTGGGATAGTCGAGAATATCATACTTTTCTAATTTAACACTTTTTGGATATATGATAGACGATGATTCAACAGCAACATTGATTATGTAGGTGATGTTTAATCGAGTAATTTGTTCTGGAGTTGCAGCCATTTGACCTGCAAGCAGGAAAAAAACGACATTTTTTTCCACAGTCGAGCATTCAATCTTAACTTACCAGATATATAAATTTGTGGAGTAATTTCACTAACAGTCATTAACAAAGTCATTCTGTTTATATTTGCTAAGCCCGTCATTGCAGTCATCTTATTATTAGAGTCTGTTTAAAAACATCAAGTGTAATAATTGGTATGAGAAGAGAAATTTAAAAAGTGAACGGGCACGCACGAAAGATCAACAGATAATGATACCACACGAGCGAAGAAAAAGTGTATGAAACCGAATCAAGGATTTAAAATCTAAAATGAAGTGAACTATAAAGGCTCTTTAATATACTAGAAAAATATGTAAATGAAGTTGTTTTAGAACCTTATACTTGTCAAATAAATGTTTTACAGAGCATGAAAAAAATTACATGCACAACGAATTTCAACATAGTGATGAAAATATGTGAAACTTAGAGTAAAAATAATTTTTCAAAAAAAATCCTCAAAATACTCAAAATAACATTAATAATAATTCTAAAAGTCGTATTCTGAAAGGTTATATTAGAAAATTTTAGTGCGTGATATTCTTGACATCTGCACTGTTTCCAGGACATATAAGAATATGTGCCTCATCTTAGTTACTAGGAAAACAATTAAAAAATATAAAAACATCATTCTAATATAACACCAACTATTTAAAATAATCAGTTAACTTCTTCATTTCATAGGAGATGTACTTATGCAGATATACTTTAGATACGAAGTTCTTTAATTTTAATATATAGACCATTAGAAAATAAACTCGATTATTCGTCCTTAAATATAGTGATGTAGTTTAATTCATTTGTCTTGTTGATTCATTTAACCATACTGTTCGCTTGTGCTTTGCATTATAGTAAAGTTAGCGTCATCTATACATATATTCGATTGGCTTACTGTTTCTCTCATGAAAATAAATAAATGAGAATGCGTAAATAGTTTACAATCCTATTTACTGATTGAATTTCAGAAAATTTACGTCGCAAGACTTGTAGCATTCATATTCTTTAAGCAATAATAACTAATGATCGGATAGAATTCAAACTCGCGTTCAACGTCCTAGTTTTAAAGCTTATAGCAAATCGTATTTAATCTCGAAAGCTACAACAGTTGAAGTCATTTTTTTTCGTTTTTTCTACTATTTGTTTTCTAAATGTTTCTGAAAACGTTAATACAATTAATACCTAGATCTAAAAACATTTCTCATGAGACGAAACTATCGCAGGTAAATGAGCTGATCTTTCGCATTATTGTTGATGTATTCTTGTGTGAATAATCATCAATTGTTTATATTGTCTAATCAGCTGTATGCCTTATCTTCTAGCTATAAAGTATGTTTTTTCTAAACTTTAGTTGCTACTTAAACATGTTAGTCTACCATATTCTCACTACAATTCTACATTATCAAAGAAACGAGAGTTGGATGCCGTTTTATTTGACGTAGATGGTACGAAAAATGATTGCTGTAAATCTGCCTTGTTGAGTTTAAGCAAAAAGTCTGTTTAGGAACTCTAATTGATTCTGTTGATTTACATGCTAAAGCTTGGCAAGATGCATTTCGTCATTATGATTATGAGGTTGAGTTTAAATTAGTACGTGAACAAATCGGTAAAGGAGGCAAGTAAGCGGTTTAGTTATTGGCCATGGCAACTCAATTTCTAAAACAATTTAGTTTATTTTAGGTGATCAACTAATGCCGCTGTTCATTAATGAAAATGTTCTGAAGAAAATTGGAGATGAATTACAAGAATATCGTGATCAATTATTTAGAGAAAATTATATGTCACAAGTGAAAGCGTTTCCTGGTGTACGCTCTTTATTTAAAATGATTAAAAAACGTGGTGTCAAAATAGCTTTAGCATCATCGGCACGAGAAAATGAATTACAAATTTATAAACGAATTGCAAATATCGAAGATCTCATTGATGGTGAAACCTGCTCAAATTCAAAGGATGTTAAACGATCAAAACCGTACCCAGATATATTTTTAGCTTGTCTAAATGTATTAAAACTTTCATCGAAAGATAATGTAATTGTCGTTGGTGATACGCAATGGGATGCTAAAGCGGCGGTAGCTGCAGGACTGAAAATTGTCGGAGTTGAATGTGGGGGATTTTCTGGTGATCTACTACGACAGTCCGGGTGCCAATGGGTGTATAAAGATATTGAACAACTAACTCGATATTACGATACTTTATGCAAAGATGTTTTACGTTATGAATAATTTATTGTTTTTGCCTGTTTGATTTTTGTAGTTTAATTTAATGTCGAGATAACAATTTGAAAAATATACCGATTTAAACAAGCTGATTTAGTTTAACATTGTTTTTTTATATAGGTTATTTATCACATAGAAGATACCTGCATCCTACTAAGGGAAATATTTTACGACTAAAAAAACTAAGGGAAGCAATTTTACCGTAGTTTGCAATGAAACTCCACAACTTCAACGTGAACTTCATTTTGTTTGCTGAACCTGGTCTTACAATTAAGATTAGGAAGAAATGTTCCCTCATTTTCAAAGGTTTTTTGAAAATCTTTTCAAAAACCAACGTACTTTCTATTGTATTTAAAATTTTTGTTGATATCAAGAATATATGATACAAAATGGAGCTCATATTGAAGTTCTGGTTCTGAAGCAATTTGGATCGATTTCGACAGAGTTACGAATTTTTTTGTTTTCTCTAAAAAAAACAAATGGATTGTTTCACCTTCTATAGGCTTTCACTAAGTTCTTGCATTTACTTCTAGAACAACATTGATACGATACTGGGAGTCGAAAATCTATGTTTGGAGGATTATCAGACCGAATCGACCTCAAATAGGTGGGTCCAAGTTCGATTTATTTTAGCCTTATCAAGGATATTTACAAAAAAACGAAAGCTTAACACCTTTTATACGACAGAAAAAAACAAACAATCAGTAGCAACAGTAGAGAAGCGTTCAACAGTGACAAGCACGAAGATTTTATACAAAGGAAATCACAGGTTTAAATATTTACTAAGAGCGACTTGAATTATTTTATGCTAAAACATGCTGTTACCATTTGAGGTAGATTGTTCCACTCAGCGGTTGTTTTCGCTAGAAAAGATGACGAAGTCATCCTTCTGATATTAGCTGGGACTAGTCATCATACTCTTTCGATACAGGGCTTACACAGAAACTAAGTTTTAAAAACAATCTTCAAAAGTAGCATCCAAAAAGATTTTTGGAAAGCTTGTTAAAAGGTTTCTAATGCAGTTTTTTTTTCAGTGGTAGATAGTCCAAGATGTCCTCTTCAAAACGGGCGTCAGTCAGGACCATTAGCGATACGTTAGGCGTAGTAACGAATTTGCTGCAGTCTAGTACTGGTAGCTGTTAACTTCTTAGAAGACGAGTGGAACATAGATGATCGAGCATGCTGAGCCTAGTGGCAATGTTTGTTTTTCGAAAAAGATCAAAAATCTGGTGAAAGATAACTTTGTTAAGACAATGCAGTTTTAAACTAATGTCACTGAATATGAAAAAGTTGATATCTTCCTCAAAATCGAACTCATACACTTTAATATTCTGGGATAGTATCACAATAGTGCCTTACAAGAATATAGTACTGTAGAGACCAGAACAGTGCACGAAAACTGGATTAAGTACGAAAAGATTTTTCAGAGATTATGGTCAACGATCGAACAACTAAAACTCATTACTTTGCATTTTTTACACTGTCATCATAGAAAACTACTCAAAGTAAATACGTCTATGAGATCGAATAGGTCGATGGGATTCGAGGTTTATCAACGATCTTTTTAAACCCCACGTTTAAAAAAATTATTAAATTTACTTTTTCATGCAATGATGCGTCAACGTTTTACTTTCAAAATGCTGCATAGTTGAACTCTCTATTAGTTTGTATTCAAAAGTGATTCAAGAAAGAATCATTAATATTCTTTTCTTCAAATGGAAAATATGATGTCTGAGAATAAATAAATCGATATTTACGTAGATTTTCTCAATAGAGATCCGGAAAGACGAAGTTTCTCGAGACATTTATGAAAAGAGAAAGAGACAATTGCACAAAGTTCTCGTACGAATTAGAATCGCTGGTTAAGTTTTGAACTGCCCTAAACTACAATGAGTAAAAATGTCTTTGTCATAAAAGAATCGTTCTGTAAAATGAGTAGTTAGAATTTCAGAGAATTAAGCATAACAATAATGATTTATTTTATTGTCAAAAAACGATATTAATTGCTCTGCTTTCTATTTCGTAATGGTATGCAACCGCATATTCTCGTCTTTCTATAGAAATAGTCTTCTTTAATTAACAAATCATCACCATTTTGATCGATATCGAAATAATATCGATAAATTGAACTATTGTTTTTATGGTAACACTTAACATTTAATTTTCTAACTTGTTCAATTATTGACACTAAATAAGATTTTAAATTATTTTCATTATTATTATTATTATTTAATTTAATATCTCCATTATCAGACATGTTAATTTTGGATAATTTTTTAACAATTTCTTTGCTGATTTGAAAAATAGTTGTTTCAGTTCGAGATTTGATGGCATTGTAATCCGAAGATGATTTAGAGTAGATGAATAACCATTGGTCAACAGTGAATCAACATCTCGTTGTTTTTGAATCATATACTTTCCTAAAATACGCAGCAATTGATTAACAAATTTTGTAAATAAATACGTAATTATTACCTATTATGAATGTATGTAATTTATTCCATTTATTGCCGACTGTAGACTTAAACGTTTGTTTCGTTAAAACTGTAACATGAATTTTTTTTCGTTTAAATAATTGTACATTGGATATGGATAATATTTGAATATATTTCAAGGTTAAACATTGTCACTTTAATTAGATTTTCAAGACCTGTGAATAAAACAAAGAGTGCATTATAACTCAATTGTACATTGGAAATATTGATTGATTGAATAGAATGTAAATAACAAGTATTATAAATTGTACGTAATACATATAGTTCAAATGTTTGTGATTCTTTATCTGACCAAGAAATTGTTGTTGAAACAAATAAAATATGAAAATTTTTAAATTGTTGAAAAATGAACGAGAAAATTATACCCGAACTATTGTTCATTATTTCATTATACAAATTCATTGACGTTATACAACACTGAATGTAGTCAATGTAAATAATATTTCGTTTAATCCACACATCATTTCTTATATATGAATAATTCGACGATGATAATGATTGGCTATTATTTGGAAATAAAATTTGTAAATATTCGTTTGATATATCCAATTGATTATTGATTACTATCGTTTTCATACGATCGTATTCGATTATATTAATTAGACTTAAACGTTTTAAATTTGTTTTTCTAAGTATTGATATCGTTTAAATGACAAATACTATCTAAATAATCTAGATAAACGGTTTGAATTGATGAACACTTGAATAAAAATTGTTCAAATTCATAAGAAAAATAGGAATTATTAAGTATTAGAAAATTTAATTTAAATGTTCGTAATCGATAATATTGATTACGAACGAGTAAATAGATCTCGACTTGAATAATCGAATATAATTTTGATATCTAATTCAATCAAATGTTGAAATGATTGTTGATTAATGTTGATAAAGACAGTTAGTTGTAAATGAGTTAAATTTTGAAATTTTCTTAAACCACATTTATCATTGATACAATTCTTGTTTAACTTCAATGTTTCTAATGTTGATGTACACTTATTAAATAAACAATGTCGTTCTTTGAACAGAATTTGTTTATTATCGATAATCAAACGTTTCAATGAACGAAAATTCAATAAATCAAAACCGTTGTTGTATAATAATTGTCGACATACATCATCTAAATCATTGTCGATAATCAATGTTGGAATATAATATTGATTCAATATTAATAATTGACAAAAATAGTCGAATATTTCATAGTTTATTGATAGTAATGATGAGTTGGATAAATGAATATACGACCAAATAGAAGGATCACTCAAAACAGGTTTCATATGTTTTAATCGATATTTGTAAAATAGACGAACCGTTTCATAGGGCCCAACAACTTTGAATATTTTAACTAGAACAATGTTTGGTAAGTCGAACAAGAACATATCTAAAATAAATAACATGCCTAAAACTGAATACGTATCAGGGCTTCGTATGGACTTGCCTGGTCCCAATTTTTTGGACCGAACCATAACTTTTCGAGACCAGGACCACTTCGGACCATTTTCGATAAAAAAAATTTGAGATCAAGACCAAGTCGGATCATAAATTTTTCGAACCAGATGAATCCGATCCAGTCCGACTTGGTCCTGGACCGAACCATATACAGCCTTGATAAGCACGTTGGTATAAAGCACGTCCTGAGCTGAGATAATCCTCCATTATGCTATTTCACTTATTAATTATTAAGTGTGTATTATGCTATTTCATAAGATATTGAATTTTGACTGCAAGACTATCAGAAACAGCAGTGCGAAGCAGAGAGACAGAGATAGGGGGCATCAAATAGAAAGATCACGCGTAAGAACTAAGGATTTTAAAAAGTTGTGATTAAAAAGTCAAAATGGTACCACCGCTTACGAGAGAATAGCCCGATGTGTTCTGCTACTTTTGCTCGAAACATTCATAGGCAGAGTTAGTCGATAGTTCTGATCAGGAATATCCATAATTTTGTTCGGCTAATGATCAAGTTTTAATGGTGTTATAAATTTTTTAACCCTTTATACCCTTCGGTCCCTTCCAAGGAACGTTAATTTGACAGGTTTATAAAAAAAATGAATCATCAACTCGCATGAATTATCAAATTTCGCATTCCAGTGCAGTGGGCATTCCAGCTGAAGCTATACTAAAAGTGTCTCCAGATGTAAAAGGTTAATGAAAATATCGTGTTCTAATAATGTTGAGCGTTTATTTGTAGTTCGATATTTTTATTAAAAAGTTTAGTCCATTAAAACTTGATCATTAGCCGAATAAATTATAGACATGGAAAATTCGACGTCCTCTACAATCTGGCACTATCAAAAACACGTTTGCTCAAAACTGAATTTTCACGTTTTGGAGGCTACATCTGAAATCCTGAGCTACGGAAGGTATAACTCTCAGATTTATGACTAGGATTATCGACTCTTCATAAACATATGTGCTTCGAGCAAAAGCGGTGAGACATCATGCCTGTTCCCTTTTTAGTAACTAAAGCTAGGTATGCATCAATTCTTTTTTGAAACTTATTAAGTACAAAAATCTTGCTCCAAACCTACTTATCCCAAATATTTCTTGAATACGTAGGATTGGCCTGCAGGTTTTTTCTACAAAATGAGATACAACGAAGTTGGTATTCTCAGTTAGTAAGATGAAGATAGGAATAGTATTGACCAATTTCAAGTCCGCCTGTTCAAACAGGAGTTTTTTATCTTGAATTTAGGGCTGTCGCAAGTCCCAAAATAGCTGTATTTCGAAGGGAAAAATCATTGGCTACAGTCTGGCATAATGGAGAACAATTGATAAGAAACAGTTTGACAGGTGCAATTATTTTTGCAGGTGCACAACCTTTTCTAGAATTGGTGTATTTCTAGCTATAGTTACGCTTTGACTCTGATAAAAAAAGATGTCAGAAATATACTTCTTGCTGTTCTTACTGCAACCTGAGAGAAAAACTTCTACTTTTGCTATAAAACAGAATGATTTGTTTTGAACAAAAATGCTCATACATATCCCAAGCACAGAAAAAGCATCGAGTATCGCCCAATGCATCTCGGTGGTTAATTTACTGGTCGACGCATATAGATGCAGATAAATGTTTCTCTCGATGCAATTAGATAGCATTGCCCAGGACTTGACATTTTCATAGGGTAAACTCGGTGCATTCAAATATATTGGGCAATACGTCAACCGACGCAGCTAACTAACTCGATACTCTAGCTGGAATATCCAGATAAAAGAGTAAAAAATATCGACTCCAGCTAAAGCATCTAGATATTTCGGCTGCAGTACTTTTGCTTGGGTACATATTAGCCAGTATCAGCTCATTGATACTGTACGGTTTATACAAGAACTTGTTTTATTATCATTCTTACATATGTCTCTGTTATTTCTCGGTTAAAAGCAATCTTTGCTACATAATTCCAAGTACAAACGTCTATCGAAAGTGTTGAAGTGAAACGACAGACCAGAGTGCGAACTGAGTGTGAATTCAGTCAGCAAGAACTTCTGAACAGACTCATTCTCTTTCTTACACTCTTACTAGTAAGAAAAGTAGGAAAATACGTACTTCTTACCACTGTCCGTTTATTTTAAACAGTGCACTTGGCCACTTTTTGAATAATTTTCTAACAAAAGAGACACAGATCTGTGGTTTTCGACAAACTGAATATTTTCTATTTTACTCACAGCTCAAAATAACGTGAAACTTTCAAGCAATACACAGTTAAACATGCTACACACTTTTTGAGAGCTTTTACTGGAAAAAATTCGGCTTTTAGAGGTAAGGTTTTTTAGAAAAGATCCTAAAAAAATACACATTGATAAGTTCATGTTTTCAACCTCATAGTAAGTTTATTATGTTTACCAAACTGTTTATAGAGTGAAAGTTTCACGTTGTTTGATTTAGTTATGAGTGGAATAGTAAAAATAATAGTAATATGCCATGTGAAACCTCGAGGTTTAAACATTTGTACTTCTAAAGTACGTGATGAACAAGTATAACTGTCAAATGATTTGACTCAAATCATGCTGTTTTAAATAGGCACGTATAGTTTTCAAACAAGGATATTTTACCTAAATGAATCATTAAGCGTTGTAGATAAATTAAATATGATATTTTAGAATTGCAATCCTTTCAACAATTTTACTGCGCTAATAATATCTCGTCTTCTTTAGTTCTATTAGAAGATTCACTAATATTCGTATGAATAGAAAGCATTAAAGAGATTACATGTTGGTCTAAAAACTAGTTAGTTGCATCTATAGTATGTATGATCTTTGGACTCGCAAGTTTATCGCATCACTAATTAAAATACACAAGAAAGAGAAAAAAAGAACATTTTGTCTTTACTTATCTAACTCATTCTCAGGCTTTTTACCAGGTATCATTTTTTAGCTTAAAAAATAGACATCCATTGTAAGAAGAAAGATATCAGACAAACATCTAGTGAAAAAAAAGTTATTATTCATGCTTTATGCTATCTCGAAATATATATCCACTTAATATAAACACATAGAATCATTCTATTGTACAAATAATTTTTCTCTTTTTCTTGTTCTCCATTTATTTTATAGGAAAAATATGAGAAATTCTAACACAAAAGTCTCTATACATAGAATATCGTCAATACATACAGTATGTATTAAAAAGAACCGAAATTGACTTGTATATGAAAAACAACAGTTAATCTATTTAGTCTTGATGAAAATAATAATAAGCATAAATTTTTTTTTCGAAGGACACATCATATTATAAAAAATTTTGTTAAAAGTACATTTTCAGAACAAAACATAAATAACAATAATATACGTACGACAAAGAAAAACAAGTTAATTATTTCTTCTTACATCTATTACAGTAAACATATTTTACCTGATATTTTATATTGTTTTTTTCTCTTCTTGAATTTTACAACAGTCTATCAAGGAAATGAAATTTGAAATAATTGAATAAAATTTATGAAATTCTTTAGTTTTTATTGCGTTCCCATTTTTCAACTTTTCCTTTGTTCATATAAATCTCTAAGGATATTCTACGTATATTTATTCATACACTTTACAGAAAGGTCCTAGAATGAGAGCAGACGTTATAGTTGGACCTTATGATATCAATCAAAAGAGGGAGAGACTATTTCGCCAGTATATATATAATTTGGAGGAGTCCGTATCGTCAGATTTCTACAGTGATCAAACTAGATTTTACAAAATTAAAGAATTTGTTTACAATAGGATATTTAACTATCAAAAAAGTAACTTGTAAACTATGAATTTTACAAGTATAAGTAATCATTCGTTCATACAAACTATCCAATATAGAAAAAGAAATCCAAGAGTGATTGACTGTACGGTAAAAAAGACCTCTATGGTAATAAAAACCATTGGAATACTCTTTAAAAAATCACCATTTCTTTTGAAATATAAATAAAATTTACAGAAAAATAGAATACAATTAAAATTACACATCTGATTCAAAAACATATTTATTATCGTACGAAAGATATTTTTGTAAATGTTCTGATATATACGTATTTAATTGTCTAATATCATTTGGAAATTGTTTTAAACACATTTTCATATGAAAACGACATAAAGATTTTAATGTTGATTCTCTTATATTTTGTCGATGTTTTTTATTAATTGTTTCAATAAATTGAATAAAACCTACTTTTTTATTTTCTAATTTTTTATTTAAAAAATGATAAGCATCCGTTTGTAATAGACTTTTTATTTGACGTAATTCAAATTGAATTTCACCATTATTAAATAGTGCAGTGAGAAATTTTTCAAATAAATCATTATCCGATTGAGATTGTTGTGGACTAAAATTTAATATAAATTTTTTTTATCAATATAATTTTAGAAAAAATAAAATATTTCTTACTTTAAATTAGATAATGTAGTTATTTGTAATGTTTGATCAATTGTTGTTAACGAATTTTTTCGTTGAAAAAATTGTTCATTCATTGTTGGTCGATTATTTTTATAAAATTCATGATGATTTGAATAAATATAATAAAATGCTATAATTTCAATAAAAAATCCAATATATTTAATACGTTGATTGGATTGTTTATTTATTGTTGATATAAATATATCACACAAACGATATTTCAATAGAAAACAACCAATTTCAAGTAAAACATTAAGATCAAATTCATTATAAATAAAATTTGCATAACTATTATAAATTGCTTGATATGTAGTATATAATGTATTTGATGATGATAATGATGGTGGTGAATATTCAAAAATTGATTTTGAAATTTGACCATGTTTTATTAATATTTTATGAATTAATTGAAATAAATTTGTATGATCATTTTCTTCACCTATTTTTTGACATAACATATAAATAAAATATTGATCTAATACTGTATTATTAAATTGATCCAATGATGATAAATTTAATTTTGTTGAAAATAATTCATTTAATGATGTTGTTTGAGGACAAGTATCAATGTATTCTAACATATTTGGTTGATATGATGATCGACATAAACGTGGACGTGTTGCTGATTGAGCCATATTTGTTTCAACTTATAAGATTAGAAAATAGTAATCATCTATATAAAAAGAAAGAAAAAGAAAAGTAAAAGTAAAGATATACACACACACACATACACGCAGTTTGATAGAAGAAACCAGTATAAAAAAATATATGCTAGTATAGATCATCATTTATTTGTAGTTTATAATAGACAAGTGTTTTGATGATTAATTAGATATCTCATAGAATTTAGTTATCTAAGATTTGATTTCATTACTAAATCTAAAAATAAATCTCTACATTTATCGACAACATCTGCACATTTCATTTAGTATTAATGATTGAAAAATAAAGTATTTCATTATGGGTATATTAAAATATTGAGAAAAAAAATAAATAAACTACGTATATATATATAGATTATTCTGACTAAACTGATTCATTAAGTGATCACTGACAATCTAAATAAAAGATCAGTTAAGTTAGTCTTTATCATAAGAGATTTTTGTAGTATTATAAATTATTTATATATAAATTTTTACCTATTCCATGTTCGATGAGAAGAAAAAAAAAACACATTTAACATAACATTATCCTATTACCTACAAATTGACATCTCTTTCTCTCAATCTATAATGATAATAATAAATGAATACATATGTGCCAGTAAAATCAACTTTTAACTCATGAGTACCTCTGTGTCTCTGAGAATAAGTATTTTTTTCGAGTATTATATATCATGCATTAATCATCTTGAGTAATAATACACCCTTAAAAAAAAATATATTATTTTTTTTTTTTTTTTGTTTTTTGAAAGACAAAAATCATATGGATGACATAAAGATCTAGAAGTCAGACTCGTATATACACTCTCTTTTACAATTATGATAGAAAAAAATATGTGAAATTATTTTCTATTTTATTTTATTTTTTTTTTGTATGTTTTTTTGTTTTTGTGAAGTAGAAAAAACAAAAAAAACAAAAAAATTCCTCAATTTATTATAATAGTGATCATATAAAATATAAAAGAAAAGAATCGGATATTTTTCTTATATCTATTTCAATATGACATATTAAGATATTATAATACTCAATCGTTATTTCGATTCCATCGGGTCTATACATGTTATTATTCTAAATCTCTTTGCACATGACTACGATATCAAGCTAAGTTTTTAACAGCTTCTTATAGATATAACATCATACTGTTCTACTTACAGATAAATCTTTTAAAATGACACATTTTAATTGGTTGAATATATAAATTTGGTCTAATTATATAAGAGACGAAACAACATTACCTGTAGTTTGTGTATACAAAACAAAAAAACAAAAAAATTTTTAAAATAACAATTTTTATTCATTATTTTTAACTTATCAGTAGTACTAGCATACTCACAAACTTTTTACCAAATGCTTTGACAATGCACTATGGAGAGAAAAAAAAAGAGGAGACATTATATTCAATTATGCTAAAAAGATGGGTATATTTGTATTTTTTTTTTTTTTTTTTTGCTTTTATGCGTGTATAGGAGCCTTTCTAATAATGATGGCACTAGATATATTGAAAAGAAATATATAAACAAGATACAGGCAATACTGTGAAACATGCATCTCTACATTATTATTATTTTTTATTTTTTTATTTTTCATTCTTCTTTCTAATAATCGAAACTCGACGGCATATCACATATCTATATATTCAAAGTAATTTCTTTTTTAGAGCTGCTGTGTGTTTTTTTTCTTCTTTTTTTTTTTTTATTAAATAACAGCCTCAGATCAAACAATAAATTACATTGACGGAAAAATTAATTAATTGTATTATTGCGTTTAAGAAAACATTTCAATTGTTTGTTAGATAGACAAGATTCATCTAGATTCTTTAAGGAAAAAAAAACTAAAAATAATTTTTTATAAAATTTTAAACATAACTTTAGTTGAAATATATGTAATTGATTATGGTGATCTCGAATATCATATTTTCCATCGTTAAAAATTCTTTTTTTTTAAATTATTAAAAAATAAAATGTTTGTTTTTTTGTTTTGTTTTTTGTCTTCTTTTATGAATAGTCTTTTCAAACAAATGCGAATTTTGACTAGATTCTAATCATATTTAACGGTTCATTGTCGATCAAACTATGTTTTATATATATAAAAATAAATGTTCAATTTTATTCGAGAAAAATTGACATTTAATGAATCAGTTTCTCTTAATAAACGAGTATTTGTTTTTGTTTTTTGTACAAAAACATTTTTCACTCATTCAATATTTTAATAAATCTGAATCGGGCAACAATTTTTACGCTAATCACAATCTTATTGATACACGTTTCCTCGTTCTTTGTTCATCGTTAAAGTAAGCAAAATGATTTCTAAAAAAAAACAAATTATAACCCATTGTTTGTCCTATTTTATATGGCCTATTAATTTTGATAAAAAATGCAATTTTTCTTTTTTTAAAAATATATTCCGTTTTAAATAATAAATATGTTTAAATTTGTTTTTGATAAAAAAATAAAAACCATAATGTAAACATGATAACCTAGATCAATTAAGCTTAAAGGTATTATTGTTTTGTTAAATTTGTTTTTTGTTTTTATAAAAGTTATATACACGTATTTTATTCAAAATTAAGTTTAAACTTGTTTTATTGTAAACATAATATGTTTCAAATAAAAGAATAACTGACATTATACAAAAATATGCCCGTTGTAAAGATCATTAGCCAAACAAGAAGAAAGTTATATAACTTACCCTCTGTTTGAAACAAAAAAAATAATAATTATTATACACGTTTCTCATGGATAATACTATTTGATCTAGATTGAACTACAAACACGAGAAAACGGAAACCTTTTTATTCAAAATATGAACTATGATTAAATGATAGAGACTTGCTTTTTATTTTCATGTTCTATTCTGTTTTTATATTCATTTAATTATGCATCACTCAATTTTACACTGATGACTTCCGGCTTGCTGTTTTTTTTTTTTTTTTTGTCCAAACTCACAAAATATGAAATTAGATATAGCACACGATACAGTAAAAAAAAAAAAGATTCTTTTTCTCTTCATATAACTGTCAGACGTTTGTTTCGCACTATGATTTTAGTTTAAGGATAATAAAAAAAAAAAAAAGAAATAGACTAATTTATTTCGTAATTTCAAAACATGTCATTTATCGTGTGTAGGTTATCCTGCTTTTTTTTTGTACTCTTTCTCTAGTCTAATTGGACAAATTCTCGTTCGATCCTCTTTAATATATCAAATCTTAATAAAGAATTAAATATAAATTAACTATTTCTTTACTTCTATTTTTTATTTTGTAAACGTTTAATACGTTTCTAAATGTAGAAAAAAATTGAATATTTTACTTTTTAGAAATGAATCTAACTTAAACAAACAAAAAAATATTTAATAATCTTTATTAAATTTAAATTTAATATGATTAGCTAACAGACGCCAAATTTAGATTAACAATATTGTTCGAGATTATTTATAGCATAAAACTTGTAAATAAGGAAATTACATTTTAACACCCGACATTGACATGATCTATTTTTGATTTTGTAATTAACCAATTCTAAAGCAATTATGTTTTGTTTCTAAATCGATTTATTATCGAAATTACACGTACTAACAGATAAATAGGCTAATAAAATGATTTTATATCTTCATCACAATGTTTAAGAACACCCTCTTATTCGCGTTTATGACTAAACACTATACTTAGATTTTGTAATTATTAATATTCTTTTTTTTTATGAAGATGATCAATCAGTTTTTGATTACGTGTTTTCTGGGTTTTTTCTTTTAGTCAATAGACCATCTAAGAAAAAAAAACGAATTCTAATTTGATTTTAACAAAAAACGAAAGCTAATGGTAACATTTTGTCACAACAACACCATTAAATATATCTCTTTTGTGACTATGTAATGCTTTATAGAAGAATTTTTCAGTATAATAGGTATGTTTTTCATTCGAGACAATAACCATCCACTGTGTTAATTAAACTCATATCTATATTAAGTGTTTGATTAAATACTTTAATAGCATGTTTTTCTGATCGTCACTTGGGAATAACTTCTAGTCTCATATGACTCATTTTTTCACGTTATTGGTACCAAATATTATATACTGTATTGTTACCATCGATAAAAAGTCTGCGAAAACAATCATAATCCGGATATAATCTGTTAGGTTTATTGAATAGTACCGTCTCTCGTTCATCACATCGAATAGAAGTTATATTGATGTTAAAGTAGAGAATTATCTTGACCCTGTGTCATATTTTATTTTTCAAAAAAAACTTTTTAAAGTAAACAGCAGTAAGCAGAAGGTAAGAATTTGTACTTTGGAAAATTTCAAAAAATAAAAATGATAAAACGAGATGATTCCTTCAATAGCATAGACATCTAGATCCTAAATACTAAAGCATATTAAACCAACATTGGTCTTCACGACTTACGAGGGAACCTTCTCAGGTGTAACCGTCCTTTTCCAATGTAACTCACATGGATCGATTGCCTACCTGGTGGTAGTAAAAAACCTAAGAGGTTTTATTCAGAAAGCTCTTCCTTCGAAAATTCGAGCCATTTTTCTGATTTTCCGAGCACAAATCGGCCAAAATAGAAAAATTCATATCTCAGCCAAATAACATCGTATACACTTGAAACTTGTATACCAACTAGGGCCACAAAGACACTCACTACTGTGAAAGTCTCAAATCTTCACCAGTTTTACTTCTTGAGATACAAGATTTTTTGTTATAGTAGAAAAAATCGCATATATCTCTCACTGTATGCATTTTTGTTGGTATCCATTGTATTCTACTTTCCCTATAAGGCTAACGCTGTTCTCTCTCATTATACTAGTCAGCGTTTCTTCCTGTGGCGAGAAAAAACTCAAAACATTTGTTACATACACACACACTTGTTCCCCTCGAGTAAGAGAAGAAATAGTAATTAGAGGGAAAGAGAGAAATAAATAGACATAGAGAGAAAAGGTAGATTTACTGTTTTATCTCATTGCTACCAA